AACGCAACTGAAACGCACAAAAAGATTTGTGCAATGTATGGAGAAGGTGCTGTGACTGATCAAACGTGTCAAAAGTGGTTCACGAAGTTTTGTACTGGAGATTTCTCGCTGGACAATGCTGCACTGTCGGGTAGACCAGTTGAAGTTGATAGCAATCAAATTAAAACAGAAATTGAGAACAGTCAGCGTTATACCATGCAGGAGACAGCCGACATACTCAAAATATCCAAATCAAGCACTGAAAAGCATTTGCACCAGCTTGGTTATGTTAATGGCTTTGATGTTTGGGTTCTCTGTAAGTTAAGCAGAAAAAACGTTCTTGGCCATATTTCCGCATGTGATTCTCTACTGAAACATAATGAAAGAGTTCCATTTTTAAAACAAATTGTGATTGGTGAAGAAAAGTGGTTACTATACAATAATGTGGAAAGAAGAGATCGTGGGGCAAGTGAAATGAACATCCAACAACCACACCAAAGGCCGGTCTTCAACCAAAGAAGGTGATGCTGTGTATATGGTGGGATTGGAAGGGAGTCCTCTATTATGAGCTCCTTGCAGAAAACCAAACGATTAATTCCAACAAGTACTGCTCCCAATTAGACCAACTGAAAGAAGCACTCGATGAAAAGCTTCCAGAATTATCAACAGAAAACGCATAATCTTCCATCAGGATAATGCAGGACCTCATGTTTCTTTGATGACCAGGCAGAAACTGTTACAGCTTCACTGGGAAGTTCTGATTCATCTGCTGTATTGACCAGATATTGCACCTTCGGATTTCCATGTATTTTGGTTTTTACAATATTCTCTTAATGGAAAAAAATTCAATTCCCTGGAAGACCGTACAAGGCACCCGAAACAGCTCTTTGCTCAAAAATATGAAAAGTTTTGGGAAGATGGAATTATGAAGTTGCCTGAAAACTGGCAGAAAGTAGTGTAAAAAAAATGGTGAATAAGTTGTTCAATAAAGTTCTTGGTGAAAATGAAAAATGTGCCTTTTATTTTTACTTAAAAAACGAAAGGCACTTTTTGGCTCACTGAATAATAAAGGCCATATATGACAAACCCATGGCAAACATCATTCTCAATGGTGAAAAACTAAAAGCCTTTCCACTAAGATCAGAAACCAGACAAGGATGTCCACTCTCACCACTATTATTCAACATAGTTTTGGAAGACCTAGCCATGGCAATCAGAGAAGAAAAAGAAATTAAAGGAATACAAAATGGAAAAGAAGTAAAACTGTCACTGTTTGCAGATGACATGATACTATACATAGAAAATCCTAAAGTTGCCACCAGAAAACTACTAGGGCTAATCAATGAATTTGGTAAAGTTGCAGGATACAAAATTAATGCACAGAAATCTCTTGCATTCCTATTCATTAACAATGAAAAATCAGAAAGAGAAATTAAGGAAACAATCTCATTTACCATCGCAACACAAAGAATAAAATACATAGGGATAAACCTATCTAAGGAGGCAAGAGACCTGTACTCAGAATACTATAAAACACTGATGAAAGAAATCAAACATGACACAAACAGATGGAGAGATATACCATGTTCTTGGATGGGAAGAATCAATATTGTGAAAATGACCATACTATCCAAAGCGAACTACAGATTCAATGCAATCCCTATCAAATTACCAATGGCATTTTTCACAGAATTAGAACAAAAGATTTTACAATTTGTATGGAAAACAAAAGACCCTGAATAGCCAAAGCAATCTTGAGAAAGAAAAGCGGAGCTGGAGGAATCAGGCTCTCCAACTTCAAACTATACTACAAAGCTACATTAATTAAAACAGTATTGTATTGGCACAAAAACAGAAATATAGATCAGTGGAACAGGATAGAAAGCCCAGAGATAAACCCATGCACCTATGGTCACCTAAACTATGGCAAAGGAGGTAAGAACTTACAGTGGAGGAAAGACAATCTCTTCAATAAGTGGTGCTGGGAAAACAGGACAGCTACATGTAAAAGAATGAAATTAGAACACTCCCTAACACCATACCCAAAAATACACTCCAAATGGATTAAAGACCTAAATGTAAGACTGGACACTAGAAAACTCTTAGAGGAAAACATAGGAAAAACACTCTTTGACATAAACCACAGCAAGATCTTTTTTGACTCCACCTCCTAGAGTAAGGAAAATAAAAACAAATGGGACCTGATAAAACTTAAAAGCTTTTGCAGAGCAAAGGAAACCATAAACAAGATGAAAAGACAATCTTCAGAATGGGAGAAAATATTTGCAAACAAAGCAACAGACGAAGGATTAATCTCCAAAATACACAAACCACTCATGCAGCTCAATATCAAAAAAAACAAACAACCCAATCAAAAATGGGCAGAAGACCTAAATAGATATTTCACCAAAGTAGACATTTCACCAAAGTAGACATTTCACCAAAGTAGACATACAGATGGCCAAGAGGCACATGAAAGGCTGATCAATATCACTAATTATTGGAGAAATGCAAATCAAAACTACAATGAGGTATCACCTCACACCTGTCAGAATGGCCATCATCAAAAAATCTACAAACAGTAAATGCTGAAGAGGGTGTGGAGAAAAGTAACCTCCTTGCACTGCTGGTGGGAATGTAAATTGATACAGCCTCTATGGAGAACAGGATGGAGGTTCCTTAAAAAAACTAAAACTAGAACTACCATATGACCCAGCAATCCCACTACTGGGCATATACCCTGAGAAAACCATAATTCAAAAGGACACATGTACCCCAATGTTCATTGCAGCACTATTTACAATAGCCAGGACATGGAAACAACCTAAGTGTCCGTCGACAGATGAATGGATAAAGAAAATGTGGTATGTATATACAATGGAATATTACTCAGCCATGAAAAGGAACGAAATTGGATCATCTGCAGAGATGTAGATGGACCTAGAGTTTGTCATACAGAGTGAAGTAAGCCAGAAAGAGAAAAATAAATATCATATATTAACACATGTACATGGAATCTAGAAAAATGGTACAGATGAATCTATTTGCAGGGCAGGAGTAGAGATGCAGACGTAGAGAACAGACATGTGGAAACGGAGGCCAAGGAGAGGGTGGGACGAATTGGGAGATTAGGAATAACATATATACACAACCATGTGTAAAATAGATAGCTAGTGGGAACATGCTATAACACACAAGAAGATCAGCTCAGTGCTCTGTGATGACCTAGATGGGTGGGATCGGGGGTGGGAGGGAGGTCTAAGAGGAAGGGGATATATGTATACATATAGCTGACTCATTTCATTGTACAGTAGAAACTATCACAATATTGTAAAGCAGTTACACTCCAATAAAAAAATATTTTTTAAAATACACACAGGAAAACAATGCTACATCTTCCTAAAAGCCACCCTCATACTTAAAGACATACCAGACACATTAGAATGGAAGGGAGGGAGTGAGAATGGAGACAAGGGAAGAGAGGAGAGCGTCCTTGTTCTGATCAGTGATTACAAGGTGCTGTGAAGTCACTGGGGAAGATTAACTCCATTCTGTGCACTTGAGAACAATATAAAAGGACATTCAAATGGGTTAATAATGTAAGTTGATCAGGAAAGATCTCCCTGAAGAAATGGCATTTCAGTTGAGACTTGAAGGATAATTGTTACTGATCTCGAGCAGTAGATTTTCCTTCATTTCTACGTTCAGAGGAACTATTGGACTGAGTGTCAGGACAGCAGCATCCTTCCTTGGTCAGCCAGACTCATGTTGAACTCAGCTAATTTCAAACAATGCTCTAACCTCCAAATCTCTATTTTGTCTTACATTCTAAATAAAAATATTTTAAAAGTTAGTTTTCAGTCAGATCTGTGTCAGAGTTTAGATCTTACTGATTGTGCATGTGTTGTTGTTGTTCAATGGATATCATAAGCTCAGAGAGGTTTCTGTTCTCCAAGAATAATGATCTCCTCACACCCACCCTCCACACCCCTAGGTTTGTTCCTCTTTTGTGTTTAATGAGACTTTGACGTTCAAAGGAGTTCTGTTTTTTAGCATGTTATATCCTGTTTTCTTCTGATAAATATGTTTTCAGAATGTAATATCACTTCATGTTTGCATAGCTTAACTCCTCAGCTAGAAATATAACAGCAGTAAATACATGTACCTGGTAACACGAGGACAGGCATTCAATTTCTAATACATTCTAATACATCTAATACATGTATACCCTCCCTATAACCCCAGTTAATAATAAAAATTTACAGAAGATTATTCAAATACCAGAGTTTTTTTTTAATACTTGTGCAGAGGAGTACATAGGACAATGAGTGCATTAAAATGTAATCCAAAGTAGCCATATGATTGACTGATACCATGTATACTGTATCTTTTTCTGATTTAATAAAAAGTACATCTACATCTGAAAAAAAAAAGGTGGGGGATTTCCCTGGTGGCGCAGTAGTTAAGAATCTGCCTGCCAGTGCAGGGGACATGGGTTTGAGCCATGTCCTAATACAATTTCTAATACATTCAATTTCTCTCATTTCTCAAGATCGCTTCGTACAATCTGACCATATTATAGGGGCTTAAAAATGTCAAATGAAGCAACCTTCGTTTCCAAGTTCTTTTATTCACATATACCTCAATTGGATACATATGGAAACAGTCACAATCATCAAACTCCTGGCTGAAGGATAGCAGCTATTCTCAGACTGCCTCCATTTATTACAGCTCTCCAGACTGACATTAATACCATAAGGACCCTAAGCAAGCAATGTTTCCCTTTTTCCTGCCTCCGGACTCCTTGAATCCGTGGCTGTGGGACAGGAAGACCCTTTTCCTGCCAGTCCATTGCATGTGGTAAAGAGGGAAGGAATAATTTCCTGTCAAAGGGAAGAAGACTCTCTTTGAACCTAGAAGCCCCTTCCGGTGTGGACTGGAGCCTGGACCTGTAGGGAAAGGCCTTCCTCCCCCACGCCAGTTTTTGCATGTACACATGAAAGAAATCACTGTGTCCTTACCTGGAGCATCTCTGCCTTGAGTCATGGAGGAATCCAGCCTGACTACCGTCACTAACAAAGCCACCACCCAGGGAACCCAGCTAGAACCCATTCTGGAAGAAAACAAGCGAGACAGAAAAATCGTCCACCTCTTCAGAATGGGGCTTGCCCACACACAACTCAGTCAAAAATATTCATGAAGAATAGAGATACCTTTCTGGCCTCCCCAGGATTGGAAACTCCTCACATGGATAACCAATCAAGACAGAGGGGCTTTGTGTCATTAGGTGCTGGGTAGAATACTTTCATAAAGTAGTTACCACTCAAGAACTGTTGACCTGCAGAATCACTGGCAGCAGTTTAGGTACATGGAAACCGGCTAGGAGAAAAAGGTCTTAGAAGAACTGGGCAGATTGTTTATCATGGATCTTACTATCCTCATATAGCACTGTCCCTGGCCTGCTGTGACTAATAGATCTCCATGCCGATGGGGTCGTTCACATTGCCTACAGAGAGTATGTAAATAAAGAAGATAGTAGACAGCATTTTGAAGCATGGACCTTATGAAGAGTTAGGGAAAGGATTATCGGAGAAGAAATTGAAGAAACTGAGAATTACCTGAAGAGGATTTCCTGTAAACCAAGACAGGGGGAAGAAAAAAAAAAAAAAACATGGAGAGAGGATTCTCAAAAGAATAAAATGCTGCAAGAAATGGCTAAAAGGATAAAAGAAAAGAAAGCATTATTGCGTTTTATAAGTAATGGGGCACCAAAAACCTTCAATGGAACAGAGTGTTAAAGGTAGAAGCAATATTTCAAAAAGGTAAAGAGTGAATTAAAATGAGAAAATGAAGGCAGCAGATGTAAGCAGTCCTTCAAGAATTTTGGAAGTGAAAACAAGGGAAAAGATGAGACTCTCTCTTGAGAGAAAAGCAACACTAAGGAAAAATAGCTTTTAAGCTAGAAAAGATCTTCCTAAGTTTCTGAGTCAAGTGAAAGTCAACTGTACTTAGGATAAATTGAAGATAAAAAGGAGAAGAAAAGAGAAATTACTCTCCAAATGTTGATTGGAATCCAAATAATTGTCACACATGGCAATAAAAAGAGAAAGACTTTTTCAGATACATGAATGAAATAGGAAGGTTTGGGGTGATAGAGGGGAATGAGGAAGTTCCAGTTGTGTGGCTTCAATAAACTCAGTTTAGAACAAGGCAAGATCTTCTGCTAAAAGGAAACTGGAAAAAAAAAATTGATAACTAAGGAGAGCAAGACTCCTTTTTCGCCAAAGTGGTCTGTAAGTGCATTATCATTTAATTAGCATCACGCTCTATGGCCCAATATTGTGGACAGTGCAAGATGAAACAGACATGTTTCTTGTCCTCAAGAAATGTAAAACCTGGGTGGAGTGACAGGGAAACAATCCACTGTAATGTCAGGAAGAATCAAATCAACATTGTAATGCTTGAGCACACAAGAAGAGAAAATTCTAACCATCTAAGAAAGAGTTCATGATGAAATTGATAAAGTTGATATTTGATACATGTGGCCAGGAGAGAATTTTATAATTCCACATATGTACATGTGGACAAAAGAGAGGAAATAAACAGTTAAACAAAAAGCGTATCTGGAATTCCTTAAAAATTACTGATTAGCCAAAATAAATATGTATATATATTTTATACACACACACACACACACACACACACACACACACACTACTTCATAGAATGAGAAGATACAATAGAATTTTTTTCTCCTTCATTTCCCTAAAGGAACACATGCTTTGATGGATGCGTAATATGGGATTATTATGGTAATTGACCAGGTGAGCCTGGAATACTTGAATTATGCCTTACCAAATATGCTGAGATGCCCTCAGCACAGTTCTACCCATAAATGTAATAGCAAATTGTAAATCAAAGGCTTTATTAGCTGGTCAAATCCCTGATACTCTAATAGAGAGTTTTATGCTAAGCTTCTGTGAAGCATAAGACCCCAAGCAAGGTCTCATGTTCCCACTTTTACTGCTAGCCAGCTGTAAATCCTGAAGGATTAGAACTTCCAAGCATATGAAGTGTGGGAAGAAGAAAGATGACAGGGGGAGTCAAGATGGCAGAGTAGGAGGACACAGAGTTCACGTCTCCTCACAACTAGGCCACCTACCAGGCACTGGTGGGGGACCTTGGACACCTAAGGGGATAGGAGGAACCCCCGCACGACTGGGTAGGACTCGGGAGGGAGGGAGGGGAGGAGAAGTGGAGGTGGGACAGGACCGGCACCCCTGAGGGGTGAATGGGGGAGGGAAGGGGTTCCCACGTTCAGAGGGGCCCACTTACAGCAAGAGAATTAGCTGAGATGGGGTAGACTTTTGGGGGATTGGAGGATGGGAAAGGAACGGATCCAGCATTTCCCCCCATGTAGTTGGGCCCCAAGGAGCCTGCTGGAGTCCCAGGCCTGAACCTCCACCCTCCGAGACCACCTCCAGGCACACTGAGCCTAAGCCCTGCCCCTGCCACCCCTCACAAGACTTGCATGGGTCCTGAGCATAAGCCCCGCCCCTGCCTAAGCCCCTCCCCACTCCCCCAGCCAAGGACTTTTCTGGACCCTCTTTCTTTTTTTTTTTTGCTGCTGTGGTTTTGTTTTGCCTTGTTGTTGTTTCATTTATTTTTTTTCCTAATGTATTTTTTACTCTTCTAATTTAATTTTATTTTTTATTCTTTGTTATTCTGCTTTTTTTTTTTTTTTTGCTGTGCCACACAGCTTACGGATTCTTGGTTCCCAGGACGCCAGGGGTCAGGCCTGAGCTCCTGTGGTGGCAGCACCGAATCCAAATCGCTGGACTAACAGACAGCCTCAGACCCCAGGGAATATTAATCAGAGTGAGGTCTCCTGGAGTTCCTCATCTCGGCACCAAGACCCGGCTCTACCCAATGGCCTGCAAACTCCAGATCTGGAAGCCAAAGGCCAAACAACCAGTAAGACAGGAACACAGCCCCACCCATCAAAAAAGTGAGATGACAAAAACATACGTTACAGATGAAGGAGGGAGGTAAAAACCTATAAGACCAAATAAATGAAGAGGAAATAGGCAACCTACCTGAAAAAGAATTCATCTTTACTGGTGATAGTAAAGATGATCCAAAATCTCAGAAATAGAATGGAGGTACGGATCAAGAAAATACAAGAAATGTTTAACAAGGACCTAGAAGAACTAAAGAACAAAGAAACAAAGATGAACAACACAATAACTGAGATGAAAGATACACTGGAAGGAATCAATAGCAGAATAACTGAGGCAGAAGAACGAGTAAGTGAGCTGGAAGATAGAATGGTGGAAGTAACTGCCAAAGAGCAGAATAAAGAAAAAAGAATGAAAAGAATTGAGGACAGTCTCAGAGACCTCTGGGGCAACACTAAACACATCAACATTCGAATCAAAAGGGCCCCAGAAGAAGAAGGGAAAGAGAAAGGGTCTGAGAAAATATTTGAAGAGATTATAGTCAAAAAGTTCCCTAACATGGGAAAGGAAACTACCACCCAAGTCCAGGAAGTGCAGAGAGTCCCATACAGGAGAAACCCTAGGAGAAACCCACCAAGACACATATTAATCAAGCTAACAAAAATTAAATAAAAAGAAAAAAAATTTAAAGCAGCAAGGGAAAACAAAAAATAACATACAGGGGAATCCCCATAAGGTTATCAGCTGATTTTTCATCAGGAAGTCTGCAGGCCAGAAGGAAGTGGCAGGACATATTTAAAGTGATGAAAGAGAAAACCTACAACAAAGGTCACTCTACCCAGCAAGGATCTCATTCAGGTTCAACGGAAAAATCAAAAGCTTTACAGATAAGCAAAAGCTAAGAGAATTCAGCACCACCAAACCAGCTTTACAACAAATGCTAAAGGAACTTCTCGAGGCGGAAAACACGAGAGAAGAAAAAGACCCACAAAAACAAACCCAAGACAATTAAGAAAATTGCAGTAGGAAAATACATATTGATAATTACCTTGAATGTAAATGGATTAAATGCCCCAACCAAGACTCAGACTGGCTGAATGGATACTAAAACAAGATCCATATATGTGCTGTCTACAAGAGACCCACTTCAGATCTAGGGACACATACAGACTGAAAGTGAGGGGATGGAAAAGGATATTCCATGCAAATGGAAATCAAAAGAAAGCTGGAGTAGCAATACTCATATCAGATAAAATAGACTTTAAAATAAAGACTGTTACAAGAGATAATGGGGCTTCCCTGGTGGCGCAGTGGCTGGGAGTCCGCCTGCCGATGCAGGGGACACAGGTTTGTGCCCCGGTCCGGAAGGATCCCACATGCCGTGTAGCGGCTGGGCCCGTGGGCCATGGCAGCTGAGCCTGCGTGTCCAGAGCCTGTGCTCTGCAATGGGAGAGGCCACAACAGTGAGAGGCCCGCGTACCGCAAAAAAAAAAAAAAAGAAAAAAAAGAGATAATGAAGGACATTACATAATGACCAAGGGATCAATCCAAGAAGAAGATATAACAATTATAAATATTTATGATTTAAATAAAATAAATATGATTTAAATATCCTCCCAACATAGGAGCACCTCAATACATAAGGCAAATGCTAACAGCCATAAAAGAGGAAGTCAACAGTAACACACAGTAATAGTGGGGGATATTAACACCCCACTTACACCAATGGACAGATCATCCAGACAGAAAATAAATAAGGAAACACAAGCTTTAAGTGACACAATAGACCAGATAAATTTGATTGATACTTATAGGACATTCCACCTAAAGCAGCAGAATACACTTTCTTCTCAGGTTCACATGGAACATTCTCCAGGATAGATGACATCTTGGGTCACAAGTCAAGCCTCAAAAATTTAAGAAAATTGAAATCGTATCAAGCATCTTTTCCGACCACAACACTATGAGATTAGAAATCAATTACAGGGAAAAAAAACTGTAAAAAACACAAATAGATGGAGACTAAAGAGTGCACTACTAAATAACCAAGAGATCACTGCAGAAATCACAGAGGAAATTAACACATACGTAGAAATAAACGACAATGAAAACACGACGACCCAAAACCTATGGGATGCAGCAGAAGACTTCCTAAGAGTAAAGTTTATAGTAATTCAATCTCACCTCA